ATCGGTTGGGTATCGGTCATACACGCCCGCCAATGAAAGAACATCTCGGCCAACCCCAAACTGTCACCGGTCTAAGGGGCCGCCCAGGGAACTACGGCCATGTCAAAGCTATAGTGCGGGCACTATTATAATCTCTACATGCGGGGTTATTTTTTCAGCTCATTTAAGTTCCTTACAAGGCTATCGTTCCCACCTCATTGGGCCGAACATCTGCATCGCCCTTGTCCCAGCCGACCCAGGAGCCAGGTTGAAAAGGACTCTTCGCAAGCTGACCTGGGTTGCTGCTAAGGAATTTATATAAGCTATTCTATTATCCCCCCCTATAATGGAGAATTAAAGGAATGTATATAAGTTATATAAGTTGATATATTATCCGCCCCTATGATTGAGAATCGAATGGAAAGAAAATGGACAATTAAATGAAAACTGTGGAAATATACTGATTTCAGGAACTTAATTTAAGTTGCCATATCGGGGAAACCCTATTAAGAACTGTATGTACCGATTATGGTAACTTTAATTTGAGCTCCTTAACAGCAACCCAGTGACTGGGCTTGCAATCTCGGGTTGTCTTAAGAAACTTCACCTGCGCGGGTTTGGGGCTTGGGGTTCCTCCAAATCTACAATTTTCTCAATCCTACTGGAATATCTAATATGTATGTATAGTGAGACTGGCATTCTTCATTGTTCCTTGATGTTATACTACAAACCCTAAACCCTAGGAATGTTAATGCCAGTTCTGAGGGAAAATTAATAGCAGCCCATGCAATCTCCCAATATGCTCCTCGTAGAATCTTCAAATGTGGGTCCTGCCCCCACTCATTAACAGCATAATGGGGCTTATATTAAGGGCTATAGTATACAGTCAAAAAAGAGAGAGAGAGAGAGAGAGAGATATATATATATATCATCGAGCTGTCAATGAGTGGGGCCGTAAGCAACTTAGAATCCCTACATACCCAAGATTTCTTCCAGAGCACCCCAAAGTTGAGAAACCCGCACCTTGAGTCGGCCCGAGCCTCCCAACTCAGCCACCACACCTATTTGGTCCATGGGCACTTCTTCATCTGAACGCAGCAAGCAAACCCACGTACCCCGCTGAAACTCACAGCGGATGAGGTCTCTGCCATCTGAAAGGCGTTGACTGCCTTGCAAGACAACTGTAAGCTTGCCTTCATCACCCTCATGGCCAGTGACTATGCCGACGTGGTCCGCCCCCCGCTCGTTCGAGGCCATGTTCACGTAGGTTCCCTGCTGGAAGTTGCATAGGTTCAGCTGCTCAACATGCACCTGTTTGGTGAGGCCACTTTTGACATGGCATGTCTTCTGGTCGCCATCCTCTGAAATCACCACACCGATTGTCCCACCAAAGGCTTCATGCGAGACATGAAAGACGTATTTGCCTTCGGTGATTTCGTTCAAACCGCCAGTGGGCCTGTCCATCGGCAGCCAGAGCGCCCACACACTGGACCTGTAACCCAGATTGGCAACAACTCTATGGGTTTCCCTACTGCAGCTGTATGGTACTCTTGGGGGTTCTTACTCAATTGTCTATACAGTTTTATCGGCGGCCATGCCCGCTGGCGGCTATGCCCGCTGGATGTCACTATCTAAATACCTTCAGTTCTATGGGTAACTGCTAATGTTGGAGGGTAATTGCTATTCAAGTGTTGGTGCTTGGGATTGCAAAAGCAACTTTGTGCTTGAAGCCTGCAGGCTGCGAAAAGGCAAATCACGGATCTTGCTTCTAATTACCGGGTAGAGGAGGGGAGCGGATTCAGATAGTGAACTCCATGTGAGCCGCTGTCTAAGCTCCTAGTAGCCCCTCTCTTAAACACATGAAACTAAATTCATATTTGTTGTGGTCTGGTTTGTGGCGTGGGTTAGTGGGCGGCTGCAGTAGTGAAGGTTTCGGAGATACTTGGAAAGCCTCAACCCAATAATCACGGGCTACGGCAGAGCGGCTGGCTTTCAAGGCAGGTTCTGAGAGGGGTGTCTTGGGGTAGAGTAAAGAAATGGCTCAGGCAAAGGGGCGACTTAGGTTATAGGGATTCGGGGTGAAGAGCGGGTTGCGTGGCTGTAGGTATATATCTGGGATATATGAGCTGTAGTCTAAACTTCTCATATACTCTTTAGTGAATTTCATAATGGGATGCCTATAATCATCCCCTACATATCCCCATAGATGAGCCAAAGTCTAAACTCCGAGGATCCCCCTTAACAAGCCCTACAATACTCCCATGTATACACGATAAAGGAGGGTAGACTGTAGCTCATGCTGTACGGAGTTTTCAGCACGGCTCATCTTGGTTGCATGTTTTGGATTGTCAGGATTCAGGGCAAGCTAACTAGGTGGGTATGTAGGGTTTAGAGTTGAGGGTTTAGGGTTTGCGGTTTAGGGTTGGCATGAAGCAGTCACAGTGCCTCTCAGTAACGGAATAGCAATGGTCATAGGGGCGGCGGCACCACAATTTCTCTTCAGGGTAAAGATATACTGGGCCCTAGGTTGTTACTGTAGGCTCCTTATATGGTAGTTTCGCAAAACAGCCCCTACATAATTCCGAATAACCCAAATGCCCCTGGGGTTTCCTAGGGCCCTCTTTCTGAGACACTCCCAGCAAAGCTACAACTAGTGTCTTGGAATTAGTCGGCAACAAAGCTGCTTTGGAACGCCTCGACCGTCTGGCAGCAACTCGTTATGATGCTTGGTTGCTTGAAACGTCTGAGCTGTAGTTGAAACTCATCGTATCCCCTTGGAAGCCTATAATGGGAACCGTATACATAGCCTGCGAGCACGACATTGCGTGGCAAGCAAGTCCGCCCCACCCTGAGCGACCACGTCAAAACTTCGATGTGGCTCTGGGGCTCAGGAGCCACAAGTCATCCACTATAGAAGCCCTTTTAAAGTCAAGCATATAGGATATCTCAAATAGGCCGCAACATGATAGCGGCAATTATTTAGGCTTCTACAGTGCAAGAAAGCAGGCCCTAGCCTGCACAAAAGAAAGGAAACGAACGCACAATAGTTGCCACTGAGGGGGGGGGGGGCTGGCAGGAGCCACAAAGACCCTCAGACGCACAAGCGGTCCAGCCCTATCTCCAAAGCGGCCTCAGACGCCAATAATAAGGGTGCTCTGTGCCATCCGCTGAACGTCATTGTCAATGTTGGGGGCGCCGCCTGCACCGGTAGACTCTTGGCATCACTTTGTGGCTTTGGGCTTCTTAGGCTTGAAGTTGAGAATTCTGGATGTGGGCCTTGGCCTAACGTCACTGTTGCAAAATGGAATTTTGCACTGGGGCCCGTATTAAATGAAGAGACCTGCAAAATCGTGATTTGGGACAACTACCCATGTCAACATTTGCCCTAAACCCGAAAACTTCAAATCCAAATCAGGCTTCCATACCACAGTGGCCTAAATGATTTCAATATCGTTTGAGATGGGTTTAGGGTTTAGGGCCTTGAGACGATCTATTTAGGGCACCTCATGCCATACTTATACCTGGAATATAGAACCAATATATTCATTGGCCATGGTTCTTAAGGGTTCTATAGTAGTGATGAGGTCGGCATGTTCCCTCCGACTGTTGAAGTGACGAGTTCAGCTAACTCCAAATGCACATGAGTCACAAGGGAGTTGTTTCAACCTACGGCGGGCCTTTTGAGTCTGCGTGGTCTGCACATACCTGCTCTTTAGCAAGACCCTGATTCTGAACAGCCCCCTGAAGTACCTATAGATGTTTCAGGCGGCTTGTTTCTATGTTACAAGGAGCAACCCCTTAGCTCTTGTAAGCCGTGGCGCTCGGCTGAAGTACTCAGGGCTTTGTTGGCTACCGGGGAAAATTTAACAGGATGATAGGTGGATTCTGGAGGTCCCCACAGCTGATTTTTTAGGGATCATTTCAGAACCTCCCACCTGAAAAGCAGCACTTAGCAGAACTGTTCTCTGACGAAAACTCAACATACACCAACCGCAGACGAAAGCCACATGTCAAACGTGAATGCGCACATGCAGGGGCCACCTCCAGAATGAGCTCAAGGGGCTACCCGGAGGTTGGACATGAACTCAAGATCTACTTCGTAAGTTCCGGATGGGCTGTGGAGTGGGCGGGGCTCCAAATTTCTAAGTTGAGGCCGCTCTTCAGGATGTGTCAGAATTCGCATCCCAGTTCCAAAGGTGAGCTCTCCTTGGCAGAGGGGAGTTTGGGGCCTAGGGTGCGTAGGGATAGGGTTTAAGGTTTAGAGCTCATAGCTTGGGAGAAAGGTTCTCACCTTCGGAAACCCAACCGCCCAGCCTATCCCAGGCTTTTGAGCTGCACCCTTTTTTGTGGCTGTAGTTATTGTGTTGCTGTGGTTGTTGCTGCTGCTGCTGCCGACGCCAGTATTGCTGCTTTTGTTGCAGGTGTTGTTGTTTTCCTTCTTGTTGCTGCTGTGGTTTCTGTTGCTGTTGTTGGGGTTGGGTGGGAAGATGTGAGATGTTAGAATCTATCTCGATGTGCGCAACCCTGCCTGCAAGGCCCATGTGGATGCTAGCAATCCGTCGGCAGTCGATGATGCCCCAAAAGGGGTCCTGCAAACCGGGCTGCTCACTCGAAGATACTGTTCGGTTGGGCTTCGCCATTCTGAAACGAGGCGAATATGAAGTTTGAAAGACACATGATGCAATCCTCATGTACCCCATACACTATGTCATAAAGGATGGTTAGAACTGGGCTTGAATTGTAGTGCCTTCTAGAGTCTGGAAGGCTTGCTTCTAAGTTGTTGCAAGTCATACCAGTCCATGTGGCCATCAGCCGAAATAGGGCAGCGTGCATGCAGCGAGGGGCAAAAACCGACATAC